ATTACCTTTGGAGAGAACTACGCCACCATCACAATCTCTAAAATAATGATATTGTAATGCGCATTTATTCAGTTCCGGTTCGAAGACTTCAATGAGGCTGGAAAAATTATAATAACTTTACAAATAAAAATACATAACAGTACTGTCCATTCTCACAAAACTGATCGGTTCTTAAGGAAATCTTTTCAAGGTAATTTGCTTAAATATTTATATATTTACTACGAATAATATAAGAAATTTATTTTAACCCAAAGAAAGTTTTTTATAAAATTAATTAAATCAAAGGAAGAAATAGCATTATTCAAAAAATTAAAAATTATTTTCGTATAGGAACTTTATCATAACTAAACGAATGCAGATGTTTTGTCCTCACGTTAATAGTAAAATTTGCCCAATATATAAATATATACACACAATAAGGACTAGACTATATGATTATTCTGACATTTCAATTATTCATGAGAACTTTCATGATTAAATTTTTTTACAAAAATTTATTGGGTCCATTAATGTTTGTTTATTCATGTCATGTATATAAAATTTTAATTTTAAATAATTTATAATTATAAAATGTCGAATTCCTAACAACCCTCATATTTTTCAACAAATACATGATTTCTAAATTATTCGCATTACGTCCCATCGTTATAGAGAGAGATTTTCGTTGCGTACGATGTTCCAAATTCATATCAAATCTTTAAAAGCTAATAAATTATTTTTTTGCAATAACCTTAATTTATAAAATTTTTTCGCGACCAAAACCTCCAAACTTTCTTTTACATCATGATAAAACACTTGAATGCTTTCTAATTGCTTGGAACTATCAAAATTAATTAATTCTTTGTATTATGATAAAAGGGTTGGACAAAATTTTGCTATGGATAAATTTTATAGAGTCATCATCAGTACAAAGTTCACTTAACTCTTCATATTATTGTCTAGAAAACTTGTCCGAGTATGACATTGATATAATCTCAAGATTTTCAATTGTTGAAAGGTAACAGAATGTAAAATTTCAATATTCATAATTCCATAAATTTCTAATTTGATTAAAGTGTATAATGTTTTGTTATTGAACCATTAATAAAAATGAAAGTTTATTAATGATAAATATTTCAATTTCTTTTGTGAAGAGATTATCGATCCTTTCGAAACGCAATTTTGAAATTTATTGAAAGTGATGACAATTTTGAGATTATAAATTAAAAATTTCATAATCAACGTACAAATAAATTAATTGCACGAATTGATAAGAATTCTCTAAATATTCAAAGATATCGTTAAGGCAATCGGCGGAAAGTTGAGTCATTTTGTTTAATAATAATAACAATAATGATAAAATGTGAGAGAAAGAAGAGATTTAGTTTATTTAGTTTGATAAAAAAAATATTTTTTTTTTGTTGTTTTAATAAATGTTCAATCGGAAATGTATTTAACCAGAGACCACGTTGTAAAATTCACGTGATTGGAGTGAAGTTCAAAAAAACTATGTTGCATGAGACGTAACGTTGTAACCGTATTTCTTACATTCCTTGAGATAGTTGGCAAACTCATAAATTATATTATGTGAAAAGTCTTTTTGCTTCTTTTTAAAATACAAAAGTCATTATACTGATTCACCACAAAACATTATGTCTTTCAGATTTTAATATAAAGTATTTGTATATAACAAGTGCAAGTGCAAGCCACTTTCTTTCTAGCTCTTTATGTTTAGAGGCATTTTTTTATAGTCTGTTAAAATTTTCAGAAGTTGAACCGAATATTTTCGTTGTTCGAATAATCTTTTTGGTTAAATTTCTATAACCACTTCAAATTTCAATGATTTGTGAAAAATTTAGCTGTAATTAAATTTATCTTTCCAACAACCATTTTTAAAGTATTCATATTTTAGACATTTGTTGAAAGTCTTCATTAAGTAAAGATGTTGTATATTTAAAAATATAGTCTGTCATTCCGTTTCGTTTTAATATTTTTAATTGAAATTAAAGATTTGTTAATGAATATCCATTTGTGTGTGATACTATGTTTGGGTAAAACAAAAGAATTTCACGAAAATCTTTTTTTTTTTTTTTTTTTAGGAAAACCACGCTTAAAATCAACATTTCGCAAATAAATAATGATAATTTGAAATTTTTCACCTGTTAAATATCCCTATACATTTTCTTTTGGTTTTGTAATCAGTAATGAAAATTTTTTTAGGAATCCATGTTTATGGTAATAATTGTTGTTGTAACAAGAATTTTTCCTGTTCTGAACGCTCTTAATTGTACGAAAAACTTCTAAACAATATAAAATCTTTGTTTTTGATAATAAACAGTTACGAAAAGAAAAATATATATAAAAAAATTTCTAATTTGTCTAACCTCTCAATTTTCAAATTTTAACCATTTATAGGTCGGCGATTCATAAATTCGATCCGCCGCAGTAACCAATAATTTATTTATGTACTGTATGGCTGACTTTCGATAGCGTGTGTTAATTGTGAAAAGTTTTATTTTTAACCAACATACCAAATATGATTAACCTCAAAATTATATTAAAAATTTTTTTTTTGTACATGGAAAATCTTTGATTTAACAATAATCGAAGTGATAAATCAGTTACCTAGTTATTATATTAAATATCAAAATGGAATAAAATTATCTTGTTGATATTTTTTAAAAAAAATTAATATTACATCGAAGCAAAGTTTAGATAAAAATTCTAAAAAAAAATAATTTAGATTTTTGATGTCTAATTATGAATTAATTGTAACGTTAACAAATAGATTGAATTATGTTCATTGAAATTAATATATTTAATTTTGAGATGAGAAGTGGTCGGGAACCGCTAATGTCACTGGCATATTATAATGGGACGGGCACATTTTATTGTATTAGTTTTAAAATAATCCAGGGACCTTCCTAATTTAAATATTCACACAATCAAATAAAAAGCGAACCAAAAAAATGTTTCATTATACTTTATATCGGATTTTTTTGCTTTCTTCACAATACAAAAAAAAAATAAATAAATTTATTGGGTTAATGATATAAATCTATGTATTATTTTTCATAATTAAAAAAAGATTTGATAAACATTTTGCTTACTCACGTAAAATTATTTTCCTAAAGTTAGATACTCACGCTCTTATTTAACGAGCAGCCTCTTTCTGTTGTTTCTGCTGCTAAGGCAAACATCTCTTATTTACAGGAGTGCAAATATACTTGAACAGATTTATTGACTTTTTTTCACACTTTTTTTAGTGGAAAAGTTATCATTTCTAAATTAGTTGCAATTGATTATTCCGCTATAATTCATTTTTAATAGCGACTAGGAGTTTCAATTGCAACGATGATTCATGCTAGTTTAGTTAAATAAATCAATTATGGTAAAGAAATTCTACAATTTATATTTATACTTCTGGTAAGATTAATTCAATTCATCAAGAACACTGGAAAGTCAAGTTCAACAAATTGAGTTTGACATAATGTGGTTATCTTACCTAGATTTGTAAATAATGGTCAATATATAAGCTGTGAAAAACTAATTTATTTTGATAAGTTTATATTTGCGGACAAAATCGTATTAACAAATGGAGCCCATGTTTTGATTTTGACGACAGCATTTTTTTATTGTAATAGAAAAATGAAAAGTAACGTGTGATTAATTTTGTCGAAGTTCTTTCTTTCACTATTTTATTGATAAATATGTAAGAGAGGGCGAAAGTAGTTTTTATTATGTGATAAGAAAGTTACATTTGAATAATTATTTAAGAAGAAATTTGCAATCAGCCTATAAATCCATCCAATTTATTAATTTAGAACAATGTTTATTGTGCTAAATTCGATATGAAATAAATTGACTCGCGTCAATAATATATTAACAAATTAATAAAAAAAAAAGTATGAAAATGGTACAAGAAATTCTAATAACCGTTATATAGTCTTTGTGTGCTATAATATTGAAACGAAATTAATTTTGAATTGAGATTCAGTTGATGAAGGTTTCAATTATTATATATTGCATTTTCAAATACCATTATATATGAACTTCCAATTTTAAGATACTATTAGGTAAATAACTACAATAGAAAAAAGTTTACATCAATTTTTATTCGATACCACTTAAAGATAAAATAATTGACATACTTTACCTCTAGATACTATCACAATACCGATTGAGTATAATAAAAGCCACATAAAAGCTATAAAACATCTTATATCAGCTGGTTCGCGATTATAATAACCTGGGCACTTGTAGACCATCTAAAATAAAGTAAATATGTTTAACGGATAGACAAATTTTCCAACTTATATGTATAAAAATTAGTATCGATATAATACATACTATGTAAATAAATTTTATAAACAAGAAAAAATATTTGAACGAAAGAAAAAAATTTTTTTGTTCATATGTACCAGATCATACGATTTGTTCAATAATCACATCAACTTTACCATAAATGTTCATAACGCATGCGACATACAATAAAATACTTAAAAAGTAGTCTCAAATTGCTTATTAATGATTACATAAAAAAAAATGGCAGTCGTGATTTATGTAAGTCGGGATTTTTTTTTTGATTGTTGATTTGCTAAAATTCTTGAATAAAAAAAGAGATAGATCAAACAATCTCTCTTATTTTTACACTATGCTATGAGGCCATTATCATCGATCACAATACAATAATACTATTTTATTATCAGAAATTATTAAAGACGTGCTCCAAATTACGCTCTGCCCATACTGAAATTTCAATCTCGAGCACTCCAACTATAAATTCAAACTGGGCATTGATAATTATTGCCCGACCTTGCTATTATAAAATTACATGTCATATCATAATTTGATTGTGACTTTGATATTAACAATATAAGGTTTAGAAAAATGTTGGAATATAGATAAAAAAATCATTCAACAAATTAAACTATTTGTTTGGATTATATTATTTTGTTATGAATAACACTATATACTGAGCTTTAATGAAATGGTATTTGAAATACATACATACAATGATAAAATATAAGTAGAACATTTATTTGAAAATAAATATTCAATTCGAACTTATTTATTCTTGAGGGATATTTTATCTTACAATAATTCTATAAAACTAAAAGAACAAAATAATGAACTCGCCGCCACCAATTAATTCGTAGTATGATAACTAGTTGATATATTAAATTTTCTAAAAGGAATTAAAAGAGTAAAAAAGGCAAGTTAAATCGTTACAGTGTTAATAAATAAGATTAAAATTAACGTGTTGATATTTTAAATTGAAAAAACCATGACATCGAAGTACAGTTTAGATAAAATTCTAAAGGATGTATATTTGTCAAAATTCATTTGGATTGTTGGTGTCGAATTATGAACTAATATCTGAATTAATCAGATAAGTTCATTGGAATTAAAATTTTTAAATTTTAGATAGGAACTGCTAATGTCACTGGCATATTATAATGGGGCACATTATATTGTATTAGTTTTTAAAATAAGCCAAGAACCTTTTTAAATATTCACACGATCAAATATCGAACGTGAAAATCTCCTTATATACAGTAAGTAATACATAAATTTTACCCAAAATAAATGTTCAATATACTTTATAATCGTAGTTACTTCTTCAGCTTCCGATTCTACCTCAAGTTCTGATTTTTCAATTTCTGATTCTTCATCAATTTCTGATCTTTTAGTCTCTGATTCTTCTTCGATTTCCGCATCTTCTTCAACCAATTTATCTGTTATGCTACATCTTTTGAATGACTTCGTTATGATTTAATCAGCAATTTTATCCTATAATCGTTTGGCTCAACCACAAACATCACTTATTTTAGCACGCCGAAGGTTTCCATTCGCCACTACCATTCACATCCACAGATGCCACTCTTGATGAAGGTAATCTTTAAATGGCTTATTAATTGCGATATCAAGGGACTGGCAGATACTTCGGAATTACCGCTAAATAAACATCACTTTTGCGAATTTTATTTTTGACCGATGCTTCTAAGTGTCTTTTAAATGAATCATATACTAACATTGCTAGGTATCCAAATCTATTATCATTGAAGTAATCAATATATGCCTTCATCAAATTAACATCTATCCACCCGTTCATTTGGAATCAAATGATTACACCAGAAGGTATTTTTTCTTTTTCAGCACTTGTTAATCTCTTTCCCTTGAATATGCAAATCGGAAGTAGTTTGGTCCCATCTTATTAAATAAATTCAAATTTATTAGGGTTACTTTTATACATGATTCTGTATGTTCTCAAATTTAATCTGAATCTAAAATTTGCAATTTTGCAGAACCTACTAAAATCAGACAAGGTGATTTCAATACTTACTAGAAGCACATAGTAAACTGATCTTTTTTTATTGTCCGTTCCTCATATATGTACCATTTTTTTACTATTTTGATTGATTGTAAAGTTACCAGTCATATCGAACTAAATGGGCGTCTCGTCTATATTAAATTGTCGTACATTTTGAAACACTTTTCCATCTGAAGATTGATGACAAATTTATTAAAGTTCTCTAATAATTCTTCGGTTTGATTAGGGAGTTTCTGTGCTATTTTTATGCGTTGACGCAAATCCAGTCCATATCTTTTCAAAAATAAACGCAACTAACTAAGAGACACTTTAAAATTGTCTATTGAATCATAAAGTGCTATAATACTTGATCTTTTAAATTTTTTTCATTTTATTTTGTATAGTTACATAAGACACCAGTCCTTGCTTTCGCTGCTCAATAATCCAGTTATACAATACTTCTTCAAGCGTCAGGATATAGAGATATTTGACTGGAACCAATTTGCTGTTTGTTTCAGTTGTCCAGTTCACGCTCGCTTTGACCCAACGCCTAACTATACTAATATCAAGATTAAAATGGTTTGCTACTACATTTTTACCATGTTAGTGTAATTAACAACTTCACTTCAATTAAATATTATATGAAGTTCGTTTAAGCTTTCTTCACTTAACTTTGATCCTTGAGAAAATTAAACAGGTTTAACGTATCATCGCATGAGGAGATTATGATCATATGGGGTGAGTGCTGGGAAAAGGGACCAAATCGACAAAAAAATTTTTTTTGAAATAACAAATGATCTGAATCAGATGACCACATCTACATCTATTTTACTTAGAAACTTTTTTTTAAAAAAAAAAATCAATTTGGCAGCACTTACCCCCATATTGTATAACCTTTGTACAACAAATAAGATAATCATAAATTGAGCAAAGCAAACCTTATAATAAAAAAGGTTGTATATTTTTGGTAAAATATGGTAATAAAAAAACTTTAAAACGATTGTTATTACTTCTCTTGGTTTAAGGGTTATGATTCAGGAATAGGTTTTCGTTTATTATGAAAATATTATTTTTTTTTATTTTTACACTTTTTAGAATATAATGTAATAATTTAAAGCAATTTTTTTTTTTTAGTAGCGAAATATTTAATTTAACTAAAATAATGTAGCAAATATACTGCGTTTATAGTTTTCTTGCTAGCAATGAATAAAACTTTAAAAAATATACTATAAAGATTAATTCAAAATTTTTACATTTGAATCTTGACGAAAATATTGAGCTTTAAATTGAACTTTTTAATTAATTGAAAAGATATTATATACCGAGAATAAAATTGCAAGGAAATTTCGTTTAATACATCCCCTAAACCCGAATAAATGAAAAAAATACTTGCGTGTCTATGTTTAAAGTAAAGAATTAGGTGTATTGCGGAGCAAAAGAAGCTTAATTCGAAATTTTTTGAACAATCTCAAATAATAGGTTGTCCATCATTGATATTACTATTATTTAATTTAATAAACTTCAGGAGCTAATTATTTTTGTTAATGTAGATTCCTTTGTGGAAAAGTACTTACTTGCCTATGAAAATCACAATTAAGTTCCATGAGCGTAGGAAATCACCATCATCAATAATATTAACTTATTGATCATATTTTGGAAATGGAAACAATAAATGTTCCGGCATCTCGCAGTTCATGCTATACCAAATGTATGAATAGTGATTTAATTTACAAATTATTTATAAATACATTGATTGCGTAGAAAACGTAATATATGTACCGATTAAATATTTCCACATTTGATCTAACTATTTTCTGATCGAAATAAAAGAATGTCAAGTTATTATCTTCATTTTCTACCACCATTAAAATTGCCGCCACCAAAGATACTACCAAATTTGCTTGCTAAAATTACCGCTATTAAAGTTGTTGCCAAAGCTGCCGCCATCAAAGCTGCCACCGCCAATGTTGCTATTTTCACCACCGCTACCGCCATTAAAGTTGCTGCTGCCTTATTCAACTCTTGAGTCTATCGATGATGTTATTAATTCCTCAGAAATTCTGTATACTTATACTAAGGAAAAACATGAATTAGTAGTCCAAAAGTTGCTTCATTGTAAAAAGATCAATCAACAAAGAAAAAATTAATATCTTATTTGTGTAAGTAACTTGTCGGATACTTTTCCAGTATTCCATGTCAAAATATTTGTTCCAAATATATCTATGCGCATTAATCCATCAACTACTTCTTCATTACAATGACATTGGACAAAGATACGGATCAAACATCCTTTACATGAGTCAACTCCAAAAATGTTATAATATTGTTAATAGATTAAATAATCCCCATTTCAAAGAGGCAAAGACTGTCATGAAAAGATAATCATAATCAACAAATATTTTTTAATTACAAAGCCCTTGTGTATGAGTAATTATTTTGATTGACAAACCTAACAGGAAAAATAATTAAAAAAAATATTGATAAAAATTGATATAATTATATGATATCATGCAAGCAGCTGAATGACAAAATGTATCGATTATTGTACCTGTGCAATCGGATATTCAGTCGTAAAAATGAAAAGAAATCTTTGTCCATGATCTAGATATCTAAAATGCATAAGAATCGGGATATTATTGACAATTTCATATTGGAAAGATGATGAATGATGATTGCTCCCAACCGTTGGGCAAATTATTTTCTGATTTTTGCTCAGAAAACCATGATACTATCTATGGTTTTTTGTTGATTGCTAAAAGATAATTGTAATTCATTTTTTAATGAAGGCTGTGAAAATAAAGAAATTGATAAGATATTTTTTTTTAAATAAATGAGATGCAACCGATGAATAAATGTCAAAAGGAAAATATAAAAGGATATTATTTTAGTCATAATTAATTAGTGCGCTCATGACGAATTTAAAGTGTGAGCTTTGTATTTCTTACATAACATATCTTTTATTTGGAAAATGTGTTTCGTGAAAAGCATCATAATCAAAGCATCATTAAAGCGTTGTAAATTTATTCATGGAAATATTCGTTCAGAAGTATATAACGTATAATCATATAATTCACTCATCATGCGTCGTTTTCTCTCAAAAGTTCATAAATTTTATATGGACGTTGGAATGCCATTCCAAAAAGGCTGGTAGATAAGCAGTTCATTATCATGCTACAGGAGCAAATTGCAACGCATCTACTTCCAATTCTCAGTAAGTTGTTTCCACATGATAAAGAAAAAGAACTCAGAATATTAGGTTAACTGTAGTCATTTGTTATTTATATTGTATATAGTTAAAGGCAGGGTTGGGAAGTACAGTGTTAGTACAATGATTAGTACAGTTAGTACATTATAATAATTAATATAAAAATTAGTACAAGTACAGTACAAGTACAGTGGTGATTTCATCTAGTACATACAAAATTCCCAACCCTGGCTAAAGGTATGCAAAAGGAAAATGGAAGTAAATATAACTTCGGTGTTGACGCTTCTGGTCCTTGAGAAGTTGAAAAAAGTAAATCTTTTTTCCAATAAAGGTTTTAAAGTTTATTATGACGCAAAGTCACATGATGATTTCGATTTCTCGCCTAAATTATAGCCGAGGATTTTTTTTTTTGAAAGACCCATCTCCATTATCTTTTAGCATGTTACTTAAGTAGTTAAATGATGATGACGAAAATTTATTTGTTTCTTCTATTTATTTGAAGCATGAGAGTAAGATCCACTTTAATACAAAGAAGTATTCAAAATTCATTTTTACGAAATTCAAATTTTATTATCAAAATAATGAAATATTGTAAATTTATAAATAAGACTTATTGAATAAATATAATAAATAAATGTAATATTGCAAAATAACAGTACAAATCAAATTTAATATTTAATTTATTACTCTTCAAGCACTTGTCTTAGAGAAATAAAAATTAACGATTATTAAAATTCATCCAAGATAATATCTTGCGTTAAAAAAATTTTAAGTGAAATTATAAACCCATCAATAACAAATTTTCATTCAAATATTTGATTGTTACCTGAAATAAAATTTAAAATTTAAAAATAACTAAAATTAATCTCATAAGAACCGATAGAACAACTTGAAAGTAATAAAAAGAATAATTACATTACACTATATATTTAATAAAATTTTTTATAAAAAATTTTATCATATTTACCTGTAAAACACGTGATCACATATTTTATTATTCAACATAAGATTATTTTTTAAAATTTTCTATTGATCACATCGGCAGTATTGGGCTAGTTGTCGGGATGAAGCGACCACGTGGGTATGGGGTGGGAAGCGCGTCAGCGGATCGACTCCTAGTCTAGTCGAAGTGAAGTCAAAAAAATTTTATTTTTTACGTAATATTTATGTCACGTGACTATTTGTCGCAAAACGTAACAATAAAATTTTATTAGATGATTTTGTGTAACATTTATCTTATACGCAAATTTTTTCAAAGAAAAATATTTGTTTACAAGTTTTAACTTGTTTTATTTAATATTTCTGATATTAAATTAATAAAAAGAGAATTTCGCAATGATTTTTAAAGAGAATTTTCACGTTTAAAAAGAACAAAAATATTAAAAAAAAATGGTAATACTCAAAATTTATTAGCATGTGTTTTAAAGTAGTATTTTATGGTTTATTAAAATTTATTTATTCAATATATCTAATAAAAAAAGTTTACCATTCAAGATTTTCATTTTCTTTATAATTGCAAACTAAAAATTCTATAATATATTTTTTTTAATTTAATAGAAATATTCATGCTTTATTTCATATCCTTAACATTCTTTCTTTACTTTCAAGTGGTTTTAAAAAAAAATATTTTTATAAGTTTTAAAAAATAATAATTAAAATAGTTATTCCATAAGGTTAGAAAAAAATACACTTTCAAGACAAGATTAAAAAAAAATGTATATGAAAAAAAAATCTTTTTTAATGTAGATTTTTTGATTTATTTTGATTTAATTTCGATTTATTAATTTGTCATTTTTTATTTGTATTTTTATATATAAAGCAAACCAGCATATAAAAATAAAATTTTTGATAAATAAAATAAAGGTTAAAACATTATCTTATTAATCAATCAAAGATTTTTTTTAAATTTAATTTGTACTTTAGCAAAATTTAATTATTAAGTAGAATTAAAATTTTTTGTGATTATAAAATATTGCTAGTTTTGCTCAAATTTATAATTAAATTTAATCAGTTAATTAAACTGTTAAGGTTTTTTGGACTAGTTTTAACCTCTAATATAAAAAAAATAAATAATTTTGATAAAAATCTTACCAATTCTTCACTTTATTTTTGTAATTGATTTATAAAACAATTTAAAATAACAGCTTAAATCAATCATTTGTAATTAAACTTTAAATATAAGTTTTTATTTAATTATAAATTTCACAATATGCTGACATGATTTCTAATTTAAAAAGTAACTCCATCACAGTTTAGTCATATGAAAAATCTGAAGTTAACTCTAATTAATTATGTAGTATTAACTTAACTATTAACTTTCCTTTTTATATTAAATATTTATCTATAATTTTAAAATAAAGCTGTAATGATATAATAGCAAATTTATTTATTATAGTTATAAGATTATCAAAGTAAAGTTATTTGTTAGATTATAATTGAAGTAGATATATAAAATTACAAATTCACACTTGCTAAAAAATTCTTTTATATTTCATTCCAAAATATGAAAAAAGCAGTTTTGTATAATATAAAATTGCTATATGAAATTTAGAGATTAGGCATATGGGAGCTAATCTATTAAAAGTGAGTTACAAGACTAGTATATTGATTTTGAGTAATTGATGATCAAAAAATATTATACTACAATAAACATAACTATCCAATAAAAAATTGCACTAAAAATATATTGAGTTAAATCAATTAATATAATAATACAACAAAAACTTTTTCTGTTATCATGCCACAAAATAAGAGAAAACAAAAAACTAAGCAAAAAGAATGCTTCGCTTCGCCTCTTAAAATTAACAAAAAATTAAATACCAACTAACTAATAATATTCCACCAGTTCAAAGCACTTCAAGCCAGTTATAACGATAGAAGTTAATACATTATCATAAAAAAAGGCAAAGAAAAAGACACTTTAGAAACTACTTCAGAAAAAACTGAAGCTTTTCTCAATATTGACATAAATATTGACATATTAGAGAATGTTTTAGACAAAGCTACAATTTCAGTTCAAGCTTTTGACTGACCAAAGCTTTCTTTCCATGGATTTTTTCCACTAAAGAATTTCCTGAAATCTCATTATAACAGAAAGTTTCATATGTTATTGACTTGCTTTTGACAAATATGATTTGTTCAATAAAATGAATCTATTCAAACATCTTACGAACCAATCATAACACATTATAAAAATTTACTTTTGAAATAAAAAAGAAAAAGGTCATGCATAATTAGTCCAATTATCCAAATTGGATAATCGTGCATTTTTACCCTTTGATGTTATACTAACATAATCTTTTTTACCTACACAGTCAATCAAGATTACAGAAATTCCTTTTAATATCATTGATCGTAGAATCAAAACAATCTTTAACAAATTTGGAAAGATCATCGATTTTAATATATAAACAAAGAATATGTAACAATAGGTTACCATTATTTTGTGAATGATGATAATTTTAAAGGATGAAAAGAATATTATAGAATTTTTATTTTCAATGATATAGTCAGAATTTATATATGTAATTCAATACGTGCAGATATTTTTTAATGATCTAAATATTCTGCAAAACTTACTAGATTTCCATATTTTACTACTGGAAAACAACTTGCTAAAATTGGAAGAATAGTCAATACACTTGCTTGGGTCATTTCTAAAGCCTGTTCAAATTACAAGAATTTTTAGCATGCATTTTTTACTTTACCTCAGCAGATAATTGTGAGGCAGCCTTCAGTAATGAAAATTTATCTATTAATGGTAAATATGTGATCTAGACAAGTTCAAAAACAAAATTCTATGCAATTTGTTCATCCTCTAATCATAAAGCAAATAATTGTTCAAAATATAGAAGAAATCCTGCTGACTGTAACATACAAAACCTATACCTACATTTTCAACTCAAATAGTATTCTAATTATAAGGTTCCTTCAAAAAAATTGAAAGGCATAGTAAATTCAAATATTCCTTTTGCATATATTACACAAGAACAGTCAAATGACAAATCAAATAAATAGCTATTTTT